TCGAACCACAAGGATATATATAGTTTGAAGTGACATATATAATTAAAGTTCAAGCTGGTGAATTTTAGGATTTTGGAGAGGCAAGTGTGGGAGCCTTATAGTTTCAATTAAATTATATAGTTTGAGGCGAAGTTACGAATGTACGGTTTAAGAAGATGAATTTTAGGGTTTAACACTTCAACTGTGAGAACTTTTTAGTTTCTGTTTGAGTTTATTGTCCCAATCGATGAGCTGGCTTGGGAAAATATAACTGAATTCTTTGATCTTTGACAACTTACTACGATAATTTATAGAATGAAATGATTTTATGCTTGATGTTATTATTTTTAATTATCTAGTTTGCAAATGGTGGAAGTTTTGCGATTTTTCGTTTCGTCGTCAATAACTTAATGTCAACAATTGAACAATTGTGCCTTAAATCACTAAACTCGAAAACTATACTTAAATTGTTATGTATGTATTTAACATATTATGCCCCCAAGTATTTGCGTTGCTATTTATATTATTTATGAAATTGATATAATTATTAGTATCCACACATTTGCAAAAACCACACGAGTTGAAAAATTTGTCAATGGCTATGGAGAATTAAAGCCATGATTTAGACATTACCTTGTAATTTTTAAAATCAATAATATTATTTCATCTGTTGCTGCATTCAATTCTTATCCATGACCCGCGCATAAGATTGTACTGCTAGATTGTCGCCATCATTAATCAAAACAGACATTTAATTGAGAGATTCTTAGGTGGTAGGTTACATTTGTTTCTATTCACAGGCTTATTACTGACAAAATAAAATGATGAAAAAATAGTCTAGTTGGGATTTGAAAATCGATAGGAGGCCTCGAGAGGAAAAAAATTCACAATAGGACGGGAAAATATATATATATATATATTATTGGGCATGATTGGATATAAGTTTTTTTCCATAGTTTTTGTCTTTTCTGAAAAAAATGAGATGAAAAGGTGAAAAAGGGTGTTTTAGAAAAATTGAGATGAATTTGAGATTGTAAATGAATATGAAATAAAGAGAAAATATAATGATTGGAGTTAATGTGATATAAAATAAATAATTAATGAGATTGATAGTTAGAATTATACTAGTGTATGAATAGGGATAAATGTGATGGAAACTATACAGTAGTAGTTAATTTTAATTTTTAATTGTGTTAGTGAGATTGTAGAGAAAAATAAAGTGAGACTAAATTAATAAACAATGAGTAAGATAATTGTTTCTTTTATTATACATTTTAATAAGATAAATCTTGACCGTACGGCCAAAATGGAAATTTTTGTATCCTATCACACCCCACCCCAAGTTGGATTGTTTAGAAACCTATGCTTCAATTATTACACAAACATAGAATTTCCAATTACTAATTTGATATAAAATTGAAAAATATATGGTGAACTAAATATCAATAGTAGCAATTTTAAGCAAATATGCATATGAGTAGTTACATGATATCACCGTTGAATTTTTGGTGGAGAAAATGAAGGGGGAACTGTTTTTATTTTTTATTTTTTATTTTTACAATGTCATGTTAACTACGTACGTTTGTTGCTTAGATTTAAAATCTGCCTGTATTTTTTATATATGTTTCTCCTGCATACGACCGTGAGAGTTCCTTAGAAATTAGAAAAAGATATGTGCAAAGCAACAATTACTTTCTACCACATTTGTTGCTTTCTAACTCATAAATGTTACTGTCTATCACAATCTATTCTACCTCTCAAAACAGTTACAAAACCCATATATGATTTGAACAGTGACATTTTTGTAACTCTTCTGTTAGACCATCTAACCACCAGTCTCACATATTCTTTCTATAAATATTTATAATTATATTAGAAAATATATATATCATACCTTGAAAATGATATATACGTAATTTGATAGTACATGTATATGATGAGTGGACTCGTCTATTAGTTAAACCACATCACACAACAATTTGTGATTTTGTTAACATATGTGCATAAAATGTCATTTTTAGATAACAACGTAAAAGAAAGTATGTTATTTCACTATATAAGTATGTAATTTTGTTCATATATTCCATTTGAGACAACTTAGTTGTTAGGCTTATCAATTCATTTTATCAACTCATTTAGACTATACATATATATTTCTATATTTATTTTTTAATGTATGGTATTTAATACAAATACTGAAATTGACGGCAATTGTAAGAATTGTTTTGAGATACATTTTTTGAATTGGAATCACAAATAGTTTGAGGCAAAGTGAGCACATATATTATTATGTAAAAGCACACGAACTATAATCAAATTATAAATATTATATGTATTTTAGATATTAATTAGTCTGCAAGTTTTGTGTTTTTGCATATTATGCTCTATTTATATTAATTCTCATACATTTTGTGTCAACAATCATCAAAGTTGGAAAATCTGTCTTCTGCCACAAATTATTGGACATATATATTATAATTCGCATTAGGACAGTGACTTAATACAAATTTAAAAAATGCTACAAGTACGTATAAATGTATATAGAGATGTACATAACACTCACATAGAGTACGGTCCACTTAATTTTTTATTTTTGGTAGAACCCACTTAATGTGAGTGTTATGTACACCTCTATGTACAGTATTATGTACCTATAGCATTTCTCTACGAATTTTCAGATTTTGGATCGACAAATTGTTCCGAAAAACTAACTTATCAGGGACAAAACTTATTAAAGACAATTAATCAGGCAAGGAATGATTAAATTTAATGTGGTGATTGATAGATTTTAATTGNAATGATTAAAAAAAAATGTATCATGTGAGTGGAGACAAGCGGGAAAGAGGTTTTAATCATGATTTTCTGATGAGTGTGAAATATGAAAAAGGGTGTCCTAATTAATGTGTCGCACAAATTGTTTGTTTCTGGGTTTTTGTAGTTCTGTTCTGCCCATATTGCATGGACCATAAACACCATGGACCACCCTGTGATTCCCCAACACTTTCGAGATTGCTTAGTTTCCCTGTCTTGTTAGCTCAAATATTTTTATTACCTATTTAATACTATTTCATAATTTTATTAATTCAATCAATGGGCCCTCATGAACTTCATCAATGTTGTGAAAATATTACTTTGAAATTATTGAAAAAAAAAAATTATTCATTCAATAAAATTATGGTATATTAAACTGCATAAAAATCCAGGTAGAAGCCCTGTTTTATTATTATTTTAATGTTTTGATGTAATTTATTTGTTTTATTAGAGCGAAGGGACAAGCGAACTACTTATAAGTGGGCCTTTCATGAATTAGATACAGGCTGAGAATGCGGGCCCCCATGTTGGGTTGGGATGATTTGACAGGTGATACTATTTGGGCCGGGAACCTCAAACCCATCTTCTACAATTAAGTTGGAATTATTAGAAAGACTCCAACTCTTCACCTTTTTCATAATTGGATCTCGATATTAGATTTTTGTGAGTGTGTTTATGGCTTTATGCGACTCCAATAAAATTAAAATAAAATTAAATAAAAAAGATAGCTGTTGAATCTACAGACACTACCTGCACGGTAGAATCGAACTTACTTTTTGAAGAGGCGGTTATTTTACTTACTCCAACACTCCTATGNAATCATACCTTAAAAATAAATACTATAAAATTTCAAAAAAAAAAAATTATTGGGAAACGATAGGGTAAGTAATGATTTCGAATGCCTACAATTGAAGGCAAACAACAAGGACCACATTACAATCATACCCAGACACCAAAATTAAAAGCTCTGAAAATGAGAATTTCAGAAAAGAGAGACATCTTAAATTAATTCATATCTTTAATATATAAAATGATCATCAATAAATATATTTCATGACAGATAACAACCAAGTGTTGTTCAGCAAATGTGCCCAGTAAATATTAAAGACTTCGAATCAAATTCAGCAGCTGACAGGTAGCCTACACATTTTATTTCAAATTTGTTCCTCATTTGACTTTGTCGTGCAAAATGGAAAACTTAAACGGAACCGTTAGATTAATAACATATCTGAACCGTCCAATTAACGAAGTGCTCACACTTTTTTTTTGTGTGTGGGCATCATCTGACGGTTCAGATTTCGGTGTGGTCACTAAGGTTCGAGTAAAATCAAGTAATAATTGCTCCTTTTTTTATTTATTTATTAGTAGAATCCTTCAATTAAAAACTAAAAAGGACTCAACACTAATGTTGTTGTTGGACAGTCTAACTTTTTAATATGTATGCATACATTCATATCCAAATGTCATATTTTAAAAATAAATTTAATAAAAATATGGTATTTCACAATATAATTATTCACTAATTGTGACAAGTTGACATGTCTAACTATTCAACTGTGTCACCATAGAATTTGGGGAAATTTTCAGTTATACTACATGATTATTGAAATATTGCATTACCATCCATACATAATTAATTGTGTATATACCTAATAGACAATAATTAATTACATTAGTGCCTAAAAAATAGGTTACATATCTCCATTCTTATTTGATAGGAACAAATCACTCAGCAAAGCCGTTCCTCTCCCGAAAAAATCCCTCAGAAAGTTCCCAAAATTCTGTGACCTTCCTCGGCAAGAAGTAGAGCGGTCAGTTTTCCGGCGATCTCGATCGAAAAAGAGAACCCGCCACCATCTCTCTTTTTCTCTCGCTGTTCAACTCACCACCAATCGTCATCATCCCTTCCTCTGATCTTTCCCGTCGCCGCGACCACCCAGACGCGCCGCGACACCATCACCATCATCTCGTCATCTCCTCCTCCGCCATCCTCTGAACGCGCAGACCAATTGCCGGCGACCCCCTCCGCCGCGCAGTACCCCCGACCGTCGCCTGCTCGCAAGTCCTCCGCCGTGAACTCATCTCTGTTCGCGAGCAACAAGCCGCGAGTCTCTGCAAATCTGATGCCGCGAGCCTCCCGCCGGCGAGTATCCTCCGCGTGGACCTGCGAATTTCGATCAGAACCAATCGCGAGCCCTCTGCGACGAGACCCCAGCAACGCCACGAACCGCTCTCCTCCCACGCCGTGAGTCGCTGCCCAGCGCCGCCTCCATCTCGCGAAGAATTCCGGCGACCCTTGTTCACGCGTGAATTGCGGCTTCCGGCGAACCCTGTCACAACCAGACGCCGCGACCAGCCTCTTCTTCCGGCGATTAGGACCGCCGCGAGCAGACCCCGCGAGCCGTCGTCCTCAGCCTCTGCGGCCCGTTTTCCCTCCGCCATGACAGTCTTGTCCGGCGAAGTGTATATCTTAAGTATATTTTATGTATATATGGGTTCTAAAATCGATTTTGAGAAACGATTGAAACTCGAGTGTTATTTAACGTATATTTTATGTATATATGTGTCCCGGTTGGCTTGAATTACTAGAATCTCGAGTGTATATTTTATGTAGATTTTATGTATATATGTGTTGTATAACTTTGATATATACTGTATATACCCGTAACATATACCCGAAATATATAAATTTTCATACTCGAAACATATAATGAAAAAATACTGTGTATACCCGCTACATATAGTATATGTTAATATATATTAGTATATGTTGCAATGAAAAACATGTCTTTCATAAAAAAATTATGTCTTCTAATTCACGCTGTTGTCCAAATCAGTATATGTTGCGTTTATGTTAGTATATATTCAGTATATGTTGCAATGAAAAACATGTCTTTCATGAAAATTTTATGTCTTCTTTTTTTTNCATCGGTTTATGCTTTGTCAATATAAAACCATACATACATATAAGGTAACCCTTATATTATACAGAACATATACCCTATATATCCACAACATATACCCGATTAATTCATGGCCCCTACCCACAGTCTCCAATTTCCAGTTTTTTCTTCCATCGTCTCGAATTCTTCAATTCCACCACCATCGGCAACGCCTCCAACCACGTCGCCGTCGAGTTAGACACCGTCCAGGACTTCGAGTTCAACAACGTCAACGACAAATTAAGAAAAAAATCATTTAGATGCTCTTTAATATGTAATCCATTGCTAATTCAACATATGACTTAATCTTTAATCTGTAACCCATTGCTACTACGCTCATTCAGAAAAAAATCCCAAAATTAAGAAACAAATTTTGCCCTAATAATCAGGAAACCCCAAATTTGCCTTGATTCCCCAAATCAATTGACAGCTTTCTCGCACTCCTCAAACTCCTTCACCAATTTCGCATCACAAAACCCTACCAAGAACTCCGCCGCCGCCTCTAAGAACAACGTCGCCTTGTACACGGTAGTGGCGCTCATGACGTTGGCCAAGACGCTCCTCTTCAGCCTGTTCGCTTCCACCACCACGCCCACCAGCTCCTCCATCTCCTCCTCAACCCACACTCGATCTAATAATCTTGAGAGATCCAAATTTTTGTCTTGGCCATTGAAGCAAGGGGGAAACGACGAGATGTTTTTTCAGAGGAGATGATGTGAATAGTCATGGCTTTATTTTTTAGGAGGAGATGGTGTGAATGCTTGATTTACTTAATAACAATTACATTAGGTATAATTGTAATATTTATGGCTTTGTTTAGTCATTTTATAATTAAAAATGTAATCGGAGTAAAAGTGTAATATTAATGATATCTAATAGTAAGGGGTGCAAATTCCTCTAGAATTTGTAATAACAAAAGTTACATTTCTCTTTCTTTAATATCTGGATTTGGACTCTAAAAAGTTCAATATGGTGTATCATTTATGAGTCCAATGTCCAAAATGGACTTTCTTTTTAAGAAAGCTTCTCCAACGCCATTATAATTTCGCCATCTTGGTATGATGTAAAAAAGATCAACTAGACATGGTGTCACAGGGTCTAAAAAGAGGCTAAAATTTTCACACCCTTAGCACCCTATGCGGCCTGGTTTCCCCCTAAACAAGTCAGCCTTTTTCCACTCACACTAAACGCACAACTTAATTATACAAAGTCGGAATAGTGTATAAGTATGCATACAGCAAACAAGCAATCCCACATGAACAAAAAGCCAATAACACAAGGCACACAATTTACAGTCTCCACGCCCAACCAACTATATTTCACTAAGTTGGAATAATTCACCAAGGCTTGCACACAAACTCACGCGGTATCGCTCGTCACCCGCGTGCAGGGGCGAAACCACATAGAGGCAAGGAGTGGCCTCGGCCCTCCCATAATTTTTTTTTTTTTTTAATAGGTATAGGGGCCGAGGTCGCCGGCCGGAGGCGGCGCCCTTCCACTGGCTCTGTTCAATTTTTCAAAGCGTGACACTGCAGTTTTGTTCGGAAACTGCCAGAGAATTTGCGAGCAGCAAACGGAGGACGGGAATGGTGGTAGCGACAGCCTTTTGCCGTGAGTTCACTTATAGCAGCAGTGACAACCGTCGACCGATGTTCACAGCTTCCTCTCGAGAGTATATGAACCCGACAGTTCACTCCGACGGGCTTTTTCCGGCGAGAAAAATGGCAGCAAGGTCATTTAAGCATCATTTTCATGTCCCGACTTCGAGAACCCGTCGGCCCTCGTTAGGCGCACCGAAATTTAATGGGAGTGCTTTCTAGAAAGTACGAGAAGAGTAGAAGCCGTTCGTGGTGTTTATTTTGCAATTCGAGGTCCCGAGCATTTATTTTGAGAAGCTCGAGTTGGAGTGCACAAATTAGAAAAATAAATAAAAAGCCGTTTACGTCCGCCCCGCAAGGTCGCGTGAGATTTCGGTTTGCTGAAAAACGAGTTGGGACGTGCAGACCTTATTGGCACGATGCCATTCGAGCCATTTATTGAGTGTTTCGGAGCTCCGAGCATTTGTTTAGAGGAACCTGAAGTTGATGTATAAATATTAAAAATAAGCGAATTGTCGAGGACGAGTTCGATCGTTCGAGGTTTCATTTTTCTCGATTCTTTCAGTTTCTCGTCTATTCGAGAGGAGGTATAAATCTGGACTATCCTTTTTAATTAATTTCGAGCATAGTTTGAAGGTAAAAATCGGCCATCCCTTTATTCGGATTCTAGTTTCGCCACTGCCCGCGTGCGTGCAGCTCATGGCCTATATATAAAGGCCCGCAGGCAACATGCGGTTAACAATCCCTAACAGCTGGGACAAGGTAACCGTTGGGCAGTTTCTTAACCGCCCTTATCCAAAGCCTACTCAATACAACCGTTCATAAACGATTCAAACGCGCGGAACCGTTCACCCAACGGTCAAATACCGAAGTAATAAGCAACGCCTTCCACGTGTCTTCCATAACCGCTCTGGACACGCGTCGCCCCTTTGATTTATTCAGCCATGCAGCGTTGAAGGAATTCGCGCCCATGCCACGTGGGACATCATAACGACTTGTCCACGTGCAACCAGCATGCTCATTCAAATTCCTAACCGTTCCCGCCAATAGTTTGGACGTCGCGCCAACACTTGCTCGCCCATCAACGTACGCCGAATACAACCCGTGTCTTTAGAGTCGACCCCGGTCTACCTTGCGTGCAAAGGCGCCGTACCGCCTCGCACCATTGCCCACGTATCTTTGCATGGCCATGCACAACCATCAAAGACTCGACCGATCCAATGCTCAGTCTACACCAACTCGGCCCTGCAACCCAGCATCCGCGCCAAGCTAGCCCGGTATCTTTCCCGTGTTGATGTTCTTGTTCCCTTATCCCTCACCGCGCACACGTGCTCGGTTTCTTGACCCTTGGCGCATATAAGGGAATACGCCGAGGTCCAGCCCACTTTCGGGTCCGTTACAAACTTCCCCCGCCTAAGCTCGTCGACGCCCTCGTCGACTGGGGGTTCACCATCCTTCTTGCCTCATACTCCGCAATCTTATCCGTAAATTGGCATAGTTTGGTATTCCGAATCCAGGTTGCGTCCGACTCGGACTCGCCCTTCCACTGGACAAGATAGTCTGTCCGCCAATTCTTTTTACATTGGCCAAAGGTCCTGTGATCTAGAATTTTCTCCATCTCTTTCGTGAAATGATCCCTCACCGTCGGAGGGGCTCGAGTAGAGACGTTGCGACTCGCCTCAATCAAGTCAGGATGATACTTCTTCAAATAAGATACATGGAACGTGGGATGTACCTTCAAACGGTCAGGTAGCTTCAGCCGATAGGCCACGTTCCCCACTTTACTCACAATTTCAAATGGACCCTCGTACTTTGGAATCAGACCTCGATGGACTGTCTTGCCGAGATCCTTTTCCACACCTTTGGGGTCAGCTTCAACAATACAAACTCCCCAACTTCAAATTGTACGTCCCGTCGCCCACGGTCCGCAAATTTTGTCATACGTCGCTGCGCCTTGGCAAGGCTATCACGGGCATCAACCAACAGCTCATGCTGCGCCCGGGCATATCGATATGCCGCGGGACATTTGCCACCGGTCCGCTGTACCGCTACATCATGCGGTAACTGGGGTTGCTGACCATATACCAGCTCAAATGGGCTTATACCGGTCGCCGAGGACTTGTGTAAATTGTAACAGAATTGGGCCATGTCCAACAAATCCAACCAATTATCCTGGCTTGCGGTCACATAGTGCCTTAGGTATTCTTCAAGCAACTGGTTCATCCTCTCAGTTTGGCCATCAGTTTGAGGATGATAGGCCGTAGAGAACTTCAGCTCGGTCCCCATCAGATTGAATAGGGTCGTCCAGAACCGTCCCGTGAAACGAGGGTCGCGATCACTCACTATGTCATCGGGCATGCCAAAGTACTTCACTACATGCTTGAAGACAAGCTCAGCAGCAGCGTCTGCTGAGCACGAACCTGGGGCAGCAACGAAAATCCCATACTTTGAGAACCGATCCACGATCACCAATACCGAGGCCATACCCTTTAACTTTGGAAATCCGCTAATGAAATCCAAAGACAGCGACTGAAATGGTTTGTCCGGAATAGGCAAGGGTTGCAGCAGGCCCGCCTCTTTCTTCCTTTCGGTCTTGTCTTGCTGGCAAACAAGGCACGTCCGGACATAGGACTCAACATCGTCCAACATTTTCGGCCAATAGAACTTTCTCATCATCAAAGCATACATGCGCTCAACACCGGGATGGCCAGCCCACTGAGAATCATGATAATCCTTCAACAGCTCGCGCCTCATTCCTCCCGTTGGTATATACATCCTTCGACCTTTGGCGTAGAGTAAGCCGTCCTCTAGCCAATACTTGCGCACTTCACCGGTTGCCACTTGCTCGGTAAGCTTCACATAGACAGGATCTTTAAGGGATTCAGCACGAACTTTCTCAACAAAATCAGAGTCAACAGCATACAAGGCCAATACATAGGACGCCACAGCCTTTCGACTCAAAGCATCGGCAACATCATTGTGTTTCCCCCGCCGATGGACCCAATCAAAGTCAAACTCCCCCAAGAACTCTTGCCACCTTGCCTGTTTTAGAGACAACTTCTTCTGAGTTCGAAAATAGGTATTGGCTACATTGTCCGTAACAACCGTGAACCTTGTTCCCAACAGGTAGTGACGCCACATTTCCAAGCAATGGATCACGGCCGTCATTTCCTTCTCGTGGGTACTGTATTGGGTCTCAGCATCCTTCAATTTCCGACTTTCAAAGGCAATAGGATGTTTGTCCTGGACCAACACCCCACCAATGGCACGATCTGAAGCATTGACTTGTACCTCGAATGGCTGGTCGAACTTGGCCAACTTCAGTATCGGCTCTTTGGTCACAGCTTGCTTCAGCTAATCAAAGGCATCTTGTTGAGCTTTGTCCCACTCCCTACACCTATCTTTCTTCAGTAAGTCCGTCAATGGGCTGACTACCTTTGAGTAGCCTTTTATGAATCTTCGATAGTAATTAGCCAAACCCAAGAAAGAGCGCAACTCGGTCACTTTGGTTGGTTCGGGCCAATCAGCAACAGCCCGCACCTTTTTAGGGTCCATGCGAATACTTCTTTGGCTGATGATGTGCCCAAGGAATGTGATTTCCTCCCGACAGAATTCGCATTTCTCCTTCTTAGCATACAACTGGTTTTCCCTCAACTTATCAAGCACGCATCGCAAGTGCTTGACATGTTCCTCAACCGTCTCAGAATAGATTACAATATCATCCAAGTATACCACCACAAACCTGTCCAAGTACTCATACAGCACATCATTCATCAGATTACAAAACGTAGCAGGGGCATTGGTTAACCCGAAGGGCATCACCAAGAATTCAAACGACCCGTACCTTGTCACGCAGGTGGTCTTTGCCTCGTCACCCGGAGCAATCCGCACCTGCCAGTACCCAGACCTTAGATCAATTTTCGTGTACCACCTGTTTGAGCCAACTTGTCAAACAGGTCCAAGGCATTTGGAATTGGATATTTATTCTTAATGGTGACTTTGTTCAAGGCCCGATAATCCACGCACATGCGCATTGATCCATCTTGCTTCTGTTGGAACAGGACCGGAGAACCGTAAGGGGCTTTCGAAGGTTGTATCAACCCAGCACCAAGTAACTCATCCAACTCTTTCATCAATTCGGCCAGCTCGGCTGGTGGCATCCGATATGGAGGTTGTGCAGGGGGTTGAGAACCCGGTTCCAGTTCAATCCGATGGTCACAAGGTCGACGCGGAGGCAATTCCTTAGGCAAATCGGGAGACATCGTATCCTTGAATTCATCAAGTAATTCACCAACAGCATCCAGTACTTCATGAAATACGTCTGGTTTGGTCTCAATCAAAGCCGCAAAGTACGTTGTGTGGCCATGTCTTAGTCCATCGCGGACGTGCAAAGCCGACACCATGCTAGTATCTTTCTTTGGAACAGCAAACCTGATAGCGAGAGCTTGCTCTCTCCCATCAATATCTAACAACAGCTTGCCTTCGTGGGGTTTTGGGAAGACTTTCGCCTTCTTCATGAAATCCATTCCGAGAATCATCGCAAAATCATCAAGAGGGACGATGTGCAACGCACACAATCCTTTCCAAGGCCCAACTTGCATCTCGACTTGGGCCACGCCCTTGATTGGTTCACCCTGAGCATTAACGGTTTTCATCTTTCCCTCATGAGGCTCGACAGCAAGGCACAACTTACGGGCATACTCCTCGTTCACAAAGCTGTGGGTAGCACCGCAATCCACCAAGGCCATGATATCTTTGTTCCCTATGGCCACCTTGGTATACATCAAGCCGTCACATGCAACAGGGACTTTCTGAACTTGGTTCAACAACAACATAGAGTTAAGGCCCATGGTACCTTCATCAGCGTCCTTGGACGTGCCCTGCACCACTAGAGCATTTGCTTTGGCATTCAAGCGTTTGGGACAATCGCGCATCCGGTGGTCACCATCGCACAAAAAGCAACCGCGGTTAGATCGGTCCACAACCAAGGTTTATTTCTTGGACTCTCGGGACTTGT